TTTTTTTTCCCTCTGTTAATACTGTCCATATGTATATAGCGCTGCAGAACTGTACCCCCCCCGCATGTTTGCACTGAGTAGGAGATGCTCTGTATCTCATTGTACAACTGTATAGTGACAATAAAGGCATTCTATTCTATTCTATTCTATTCTATTCTATCTTCTGCCTGCTACCTTCTTCTTCTAGTTGCTCAGTTAATTGCTGGTTAACTATCCCCTAAGTTTTCATCCAATTTTCACCATTCAAAGTTTCAACTTTTCTGCTCCTTCTGTTAATTCCTGCTATATCCTTTGGTGGTCATAACTTTTATATTTTTTGGAAATTATAGCTTTTAATGCCATTTTTTGGCCCATTTTGATGAATGGAACACTTTACAAGTGGGATCACCAGTTTAGCTTGCTGTGGTGAGCCATGTTTTAGCTTAGTGAGATGATCCGCCGTTCCCAGAGTGGCAGGCCAGGGTTCAAATCCCGCTCATGGCAACATTTTTTTCAGCATACTTTTCTTGATTGTCCTGTTGAGACCTCTCTGCTCACTCTGTGTCTTGTTTTTGACACTTTTCAGTATACCATTTCAAATAAATCAATCTTCAGCAGACTGTTCAGCTTCTTTAGCTCTTTTCAGCACAAAGTCCAGCTTCTTTACCACTTTTCAATAGGCAGTTTTGTTTCTTCCCCTCTTTTCAGCAGATTGTTAAGCTTTATTACATCTATTCAGCAGATACTTAAAAAAAAACTCCAATGCCATTAACCGCTGAAAATATTTATAATAAAACTCTTTGCCTTCATCTGTCTGAAGTTTAATTGGAACACGTCCCTCCCTCAAAATACCCTCAAATGCTGATACAATAGCAGATCCTCTCTTGGTTTCTAGAGATCTGACCCAAAGACATCTATACATGTCAGTAAGTATCTCACCTTATCATTTGTGAGTACAAAAAAACAATGTGTTAAATTTGCTTAGATGAGAGGAATAGTGGAAAACTGTGTTTCACAGACAAAGGAGTGAAGATTTGCAGAGGGACACCGGCCTTGCACGTCTTCCTTTCTAGAAGATGCATGCCTAACTGAAGATGTATAAGGATGAATAAAGGTTTCTGTGAAAATGACTATTGAGTCCGGTGCCGTCTCTGGATGCCCGAAGAATAAAAGAGAACCGGGGTGAAACTGCTTTTCGTAACACATGTTATCATGTCCTTATGAATATTCTCCCATATCAACCAGGTCTACCTGAAACTCTTCTTCCACACTGCTAACCAATACTCCATTTCTAGGGAAATGTGTTCTTGTGTGTTTAGGAAGCGTATAAGTGTCTTCCCCTTTAAGTAATTTTCCACCTGGAACCCCAAATGCGCCCCTTATAACTCGCCTGCTGCTATCGGAAGTTTATGGACACTAGCTAGCTCCACAGGGTGCAATGGGTCATGATATATTTTATGCAACGTGTTTTCCATGTTCACAATGAGGCCTTTGCTTCTGTACAATAGCCTGTGTTCTGCTCCCACACTTTCAGAGAGGCCACTGCATGATATTCAGAGTAATGTTGTTGTTCTTGGAGTGTTTTATAGTTTGTGCAGATGCATGACTGTAATCATCATCATGCACTAAAGATTCAAGATTCTTTATTTGTCACATGCATAGTTATACAGCTAAAACATGCAGTGAATTGTGAACTGTGCAATAAAAAGAGAGAGAACTTTATAAAGTATATGAACAGTGAATGAGTATATACAAAGAGGACATTATGTGCAGCAAGTGGGTGAGTTGTATACTTTATATAAATAAAGATAAAATAGAATTGAATAGAACAATCAGAAATTCAGTGGCAGTCTGGGTTCAACATGCAAACTAACAGAGATTGAAGCTGTCAGGAGTCACACACACTTTTTTATTCTTCAAATAAAAATTACATTTAAACATTTTAATGACAGGTTAGCCTTCACCATCTTATTCATGCTGTGATTGCAGCCATCCCCCAACTCTGTGTTTATCTTTAACCCAAATCATCAGAACATGGAAATATAATCATCACATCAAACTGATGTGATTGGAAGAATGCAGCAGTCTGTACTTCACCTGCTCCTTTCATACAAGAACATCCATGTTCTCCACACCTCCAGGTGGAGAACATGGATGTATGAATCTCTACAGAGTTCTTTGAATATTATCCCATCTTATCAGTTTTCAGTGAACACAACAAAAATCCCCACAGACCCAAAATAACCAAACCACGTTTCCCCTCAGCTGAACTCTGAATGCTCTGTATAACACCCACACATGATTCTGTATTCACTCAGAGCATTTAACAAACTTTATTTTGAAAGGAAGCTTTTGGACATTTTTTCTCTGCTATTTGCTCTTCAGCTCGAGTCCATTAGTAGGAACATTTCCTGATTTAACTTTTCTTCTGTTTGCATCAAATTCCATGAGAATCTGATCAAAGTGTAAATCAGAGTCCCCGATAATCAGATTCTATAGAAAACATGGAGACTGTAGAGTATTTACACTCAATATGTTCATTTGTCCCCTTCAATAAAAATCAATCATCAAATATCATCAAATAAAATCAGTCGATGATCATCTAAGTTTGATTGACAGGACAGATGATCAGAGGTGCAGAGTTTTTACCACCATCAGAACCGCAGGGACTGAAGTATGGGTGGAGTTTGTGAGTGAAGGAGCAGCCAGTAAAGGAGTAGATCAAAGCTGCAGCACCTACATCATAAAAGGAGACCAGACCCTCCTCATAATCCACAAACACCCCCACCTTCTCAGGACCAGGCTGAAGCCAGAGGGGGACTGAAGGACCAGTACGAGCTTTGTACTCATTTCCATATCTCAGCCTCACAGTCCAGAAACCATTCTCAGGACTCACTGTGATTTCTCTCTTTCTGTTGATCGACTCTCTGGCCACTCCTAAATCCCACTCAGTCTTTCCTTTAACCTGAACCTCAAAGTAAAATCTGCCTGAAGAGAAACTCTGCTCCCCTAAAACCATAATATAGTCAGAAAATCTCTCTGGGTTGTCTGGAAGATTCTTCTTCACATCACCACAGTGCACTTGTTTTCCATCATCAGACAGGATGAGAGCAGGATATGCTGTATCAGGATCCAGAGTCACATCCACTGCATACTGCTGGACCCTCTTCAGCTCAGCCTCAAACAGCTTCTTCTTCATGTGTTTCCTGATTGTCTCCTCCAGCTGAGCCACAGCTCTCACCACAGTCCCCTCATATGATGGTTGATGGACTCTGACCTCTGTCCAGTCCTTGGTGGGTGGAGCAGCTTTCAGGGAGGAGATTCTTTGGAGAAGGTGGAGGTGGTCTTCAGAATGTGAGAGCTGCTCCACCTCAGAGTTTCTCTTCATCAGCTCAGAGATTTCCTGTTCCAGATTTTTGATGAGACCTTCAGCCTGTTTTTCTGTTGTTTCATGTTTGTCTTCAATCTCCTTTATGAACTCCTTCAGGCATCCCTCAACAGACTCCTTCAGAGCAGTGAAGACCTGAAAACCTTCTGCTTTCTGCCTTTCTGCAGCATCTTTACTCATCTTCACTGGCTCTTTGATCTCCTGAATCTTCATTCGTCTCTCCTGAATCATCTGCTGAATCTCAGCCTCTGTCTTCTCCAGCTCTGCCTTCTTTCCTTCAGATTCTTCTATCAGAGGAAGAAAATTGTGGTTCTTGTGGTCTAAAACAGGGCAGAACACACAGATAAATGTCTGTTCAGTCTTACAGTACAGCTCCAGAGGTTTATCGTGCTTCGTACACATCCTGCCTTCAAGGTTTTCCACAGCATCAATCAGCTGGTGTCTTTTAAGACCTTTGACTCTCAGATGAGGCTCTAGGTGAATCTGACAGTAGGAGGTCTGACACACCAGGCAGGATTTCAGGGCCTTCAGTCTGGTTCCAATGCAGACTTCACAGGGAACTTCTCCTGGTTTGGCAGCTTGTTGCTCTGAGCTGCTGCTGCTGGCTCTCTGCTGAGCCTCACTTCTTCTGAACTGAGCAACCATCTCAGAGATTAAGGTGTTGACCTTCAGTGTAGTGTAGTGTTTAGTGTAGAAAGTCTCTTTACACAGGGGACACTCACAGCTCTGATTCGTGTCCCAGTGCTGATTGATGCAGTTTTTGCAGAAGTTGTGTCCACATGGTGTGCTGACTGGATCAGTGAACACATCCAGACAGATGGAGCACTGAAACTGAGCTTCATATTGCAGATTGCTGGCAGCAGACATGTCTGTACTCTGAGGGAGAAATAAAAGAAACACATTTTATTCAAAATTCACTTCTAATTTTCATTTTTAAAAAGAGTGAAACCAGCGTCAGTAATCTTGGGAGCCTGGAAAGAAGTGTCTTGAAAACATTTCATCACAACAATGACCTTTATGACTGAGAACTTTCACAGACATAAGTGTCAGTATTGCACTCTTTACAAAAACAGGCGTGATCGTCAGAGTTTCAACTTTCTGTTGGTTCTTGAACAATGTGTGACGGACATTTTGGTTCCAAAAAACAAATCTGAACCTAAAAATGTGACAGTTTTAAAATCAGTTTATGCAGAATGGCTCATTTCATAATTCTCCAAAAATATACCTTTTACACACACACACACAAAAAAACAAACAAAAAAACCTGCTGTGTTTTTAATGTGAAAGAGCTAAGGAAGCATTGTAAGAGCAGGAAGTAATGTATAAAGAGTATTTTTTTAAATGATCAATACTGACGTAAAATACAAATTCAGTACTTCTGAATTTGAAAGCGTTTACAATGTAAAGCAAAAAAAGAAAAAGAAAAAGAAAAAACACAGAAATGACACATACAGGAAGGGTACATGTCAGATATTTAAAAAAAAAAAACTTTTAAAGACATTAATATGACTTTGAGTCTTTCTGATTTGTTAAACCTTTCAAAGTTCTCAGGAAGGTTTGAATTGAGCAGCGTTTTGTTTTGTACTACACCACTTACATTCATGAATATAACATTTTCCAAATAGAATCAAAGTTTGTTCTTTTTTATCATTAAAATAACATCCTTATATTGTACCCTCATTTTAATAAAGTGTGAAAAAACTGAAGATTAATACAGTCATTAAAAAGATGTGAAATTGTTTTTCTGACTGTTTTACAGAAGGCGCATATTGATATGATTATATCTATATTTTAATAAATTGGTTTATTAGATATATTTCATGAATTACTGTCAAGTAAACTTCCTTGACGTTGTTGGTGACTAAATACTTCTTATTGTAAGTCCATATCAATGACCCATTAATATTATGAAGTGACTGTTCCAATAAAACTGACAGTGGGGAGTTACAGGACAATGAATCACATACGTCACAAATGTTTTATCGAGTATATTAATAGGATTTATGAGAACATCTTTATTCAGTTTTGTCTGTATATTTGGTCCATTTCTGCCATCATTAAAAAGTGTACTGTATTCTCTCACAGATACTGGAACATCACAGGTCCTCACAAACTCAGGATATGGAAGAAGATGCCCTTTTCCATTCACTCGCTGGGACACATAATTAATATTATTCTGGATCCATTTCTCATAAAAGATTGATTTATTTTTTGTATTTAAGATACTTGTTTGTCCAAATCAAAGATTTATGTTTGTAGAGAAGAAGCCAACATAATAAAGCCTGTGTGTTAAAATTAGATAAGTGAAAGATGATAAACAGCAATCAGAGGATGTTTTACCAGAGTACTATTCTATGCTGTGGTGTGCTGGGGGTGCAGCACAGCAAAGAAGGACTCATCCAGGCTGGAAAAACTAATTAGGAAGGCTGGCTCGTGGTCGGCATGAAACTGCACACTCTGGTGATGGTAGGAGAGAAGAGGACACTAAAGAAACCGCTGGACATTATGGATAATGCTGGGCATCCTCTGCACATGGTCATAAACAATCAGAGGAGCCTGCTCAGTGACAGATTGCTTCCCAAAGTCTAGGACCACCAGACCTAAAAACTCTTTTGTCCCAGACGCCATCAAATTCTTCAACTCCTCACTGGAGGCAAGAGGGAGGGGAAACAAGAGGACAACGCCCTTGGAGCAGAGGATCGCAAGTTCGATTCCAGCCTGGGGCGTCTGTATCCAGTAAGGGTCTAAGGCTAGACCCCCTATGCTAAGCGAGCCTACCGCAGACATGAGCGAGACTGATAAATATGAAGGAATGACGGCTCAGACGTCGCCCGGATCAACAAGGTCCGCGTCAGGTGTTGGGGAACCAGGGCACCCTGACGAGAAGTGGGCTACTGGAACAAGAAGGCATCGGTGGGCAAGAGACGAAAATAGGGCGTTGTTGGAATGCTACTACACAAGTAACCCTGGCGGAAGGGGTTACATGAATAGTGAACGAGACATCGATTCACTGATCCACACTACCAGGATATACAGCAATGATATCAGGATGTCATTCGGGTTGGAGAAGTCGGATGATAACAAAGAGAGGGAAGGTAGTCAGAACTGAGGGGATTGAACTACCAGAGGGTAACATTGCAGACATAGAGGACAGCTACAAGTACCTGGGGATCCCGCAGGCAAATGGAAACCATGAAGAGGCCGCTAGAAAAGCTGCAACCACCAAGTACCTGCAGAGGGTCAGGCAGGTCCTGGGGAGTCAGCTGAATGGTAAGAACAAGATCTGGGCTATCAATACCTACGCCCTACCTGTGATCAGGTACCCTGCTGGGGTAATAGGCTGGCCAAAGGAGGAGATAGAAGCCACTGACATAAAGACAAGAAAGCTCCTTACCATGCATGGAGGGTTTCAC